CTTCTTATCTTTGGCCAACCTTCTACTCTTTCCAACTCCAACCGCCTCCGGAAGCCTGGTTAAGACTACACTCTATACTAAATGGTAAGATGGACAGAGAACTTTATCCATCATTGAATGGGAAGAGTATGTGGAATGCTATGGGGGCTGCCCTTCGGCTAACTCACACTTCTAGCTAACCTGGATGCCACTTGCTGACAGTTTCCAGGGCCTACACAATCCAGCTCCTTGGCTCTTGGGCCAACATGCCCAAAGGAAATCTTACACATCGACCGCATCCCCGGCCCTTTAACTCAGTTAAAGTTAGACCGTGAGAAACCGACATAGACAGACAGAGTTTGTGTTCCACAGTTTAACTGCCCTCTTGCTGGTTTATCTTGTTTTCCCTGAAAACACGTTCAAAGGATCACATTCGGTCTTCAACGCGACGACTCGTACAATTTGTGGCACAGGACGGCCGGAAATCTTGCACAGACCCTAAATTTACTATCAGGAAACAACTACCTTACACTTCTCGCCGATCAATTGTGGTTTCCTGGCTGGAAGGAGCCGAGTGGTTCGTCTCAAGTCGACGGTAAAGCTCATTAGTGCACGGGCAGTCATGAGTGGAACGTTATACCAACAACATTCGTCATGTGAAACGATACCGTCTACAGACTGGCCGGAAATCAAAGCTACTTTGTATCACATACCTAAGTTCCTGTCGAGGCCAGGATACTAAGGACTTCAAGTATAACATCTTGTATCAAACAGTGGTTTTGATACACGAGGAATGTAAACTTTCCATCTATGGCTAGTGACTTCGATAACCAAGGAGGTTTAAACCGCCTTGGGATAACCAGAGACCCCCTTCACTGTGATACATGCACGTATCATGGTTTTCGCTAGCCTCTACCAGGCTTCAGGAGCGACTGGAAAGAGTAGAAATTTGCCAAATAGACAGATAACATGTCAGGGGAGTTGGTCTGCTAAAGGAGCACATTTGCCGCACCCGAAAATGTACTGCCTACGGGGGCAACTCTCCTGGCATGTTACCTCAATACCTGTCTATTTGACCGATGTTTACTCTTTCCAGTCACTTCCGAAGCCTGGTAGAGGCTACGTAGCACGTGTTTTATCCGGATGTGTTTATCAAACCTGTACTCCACCCACCCCCTTCTCCCACCCGAGCATTCCTAATCCACCTGTCAAGCCGGCAACATCAAAGAACCCGCTGACCCGAAGGATCCGGACAGGTGTGATTCTGACCCCGTGACCGCTAAGAAAATAAACAAACCAGTTCTACTACCGGCATGGGGGCTGCCCAGTGTGCTCACAACTTGGCCTAAGACTGACCCTTGGTTGACCTTTAAAAACGAATGATTCAGACCAACCGGATGGCCACCCGCGAAACTTGACAAACGACCTCTCAACAACAGCTACAGAACACTAGAAAAAGGAGCGCATTGTAGATCTAGGCCACAGGCGCTAGGCCACCGAGTTTTTGTTGAGATCTAACAATACATGTAACGTTACATTGTTTTGTAAACCATTAAATAAAATCCTTATTATTGTTTCGCGCATGTTAGAACATACACTGTGTCTACTCATTCAGCCCGTTGCCATCACAATACAGTGGTCCGTTGAAATATTCCCAAAAATCATACAGTCACATAACACATAACACCGTGAACACGGCCCGTTGAAAGGTTCCCGAGAATCATACGTACACTGAACACGGTCACAAACTGTCACAAACTGATGAGGATTCCAAAGAACCATACGAACAGATACCGAAGTCTCCCGAAGATTGCCGAGAGCCGAACAGCGACTTCCGAACGCTTCATCTTGGTTAGGTACTTAGTACTAGTATACACTAGGTGCGAAATGCCATTTCAAAAGACCCTATTTTCTGCGAAATGCCATAAGGAAAATAAAAGTCTTGATACTATCTATAATCAAGGGGTAACTAAGTAGCCATGTAAACTTTTTGGGGGTATGATACCATATTTTAAAGAAGATATGAAGCATTTTGTAAAGTCCAATTTCCGGCGAACTGCGTTACCAGGTCGCTGCTGTACAGGTCAATGACATCATCGCTAGCCAATCAGACGCACGATAGGCCCACATTTCCCGCGCGGTTCTAAAATGTAAACGCACACAACTGGCTACATCACCCGACTAGAGTCTTGACATGCTATGTGTAAAATGTACTCTAAACACGTCCACAAACCCCACCGACATGTTTTCAGTTCTACATATGTTTCCCAGGCATGAGATTTGGAAAGTGTAGTTGTGCCCAATATCTCTAAAATGTACTATATCGTTGTTTTCTGAGTCTGGGGAGGCAGGGACTTCACACCGAACGTGATTCTAAGTCACATTTTTGCTGCCACCCCAGTTGGTAACGCAGTTCCCGGGTAGTGTTTCCTACCCTGTCATCTTTTTGAAGTTATCACCGCTAGCGCTAGCCCCGGCTTGGGGTTCTATCGAGTCGAGCAGCGGTTTTGCGAACGCATTCGAGTTTGCGAAACCTGTTCTATTCCCGTCGGCCTTTGCGCTACCCTGAACGCCAATGTAACAGCTGAGTAATGAGTGTGCTTTTTATTGTATGATTCAGCGGACCAAGTACCCAGCAGTATGTATTATATATGTATGGTTCATTGTACAGAGAATTCTAGGGAAATTTTTCAACGGACCGTGTTCACGGTGTTATGTGATGAGTGTATGATTCTCGGGAATCTTTCGACGGACAGTGTTCACGGTGTTTAACAAAATGTGTTGAGTTCATGACTCTTCGGATCCTTTCAACGGACCGTGTTCATAGTGTTTGTGTTCAGTGTATGATTATCGGGAATCTTAAGCTTGTACGGAGTGCACAGTATACGAGTGTTCATAAAACAAAGCAACAGCGATCTCAACAAAAACTCGGTGGCCTATCGCCCATGTCTAGGCTAGCCTCTACCAGGCTTTGGGGTAGCCTCTACCAGGCTTTGGGGGACGGCTGGAAAGAGTAGAAACTTGCCGCACGCAAAATGTATTGTCTAGCGGTCCGACTAGCCTGGCATGTTTAGTTATCTCTCTATTTGGCCCATTTCTACTCTTTCCAGCCGTCTCCCGAAGCCTGGTACCGGTAGAGGCTAGATCTAGACAACTGATGGTTGTCTGGTTTAGTCTGGAGTCCAGCCTTGTTTGGTCCGACGTTGGACTTGAGCGGACCAAAGCTAACAAGGCTGGACTCCAGGCTAGTAAAAGTCTGGTTACCAAACCTATTTAGCTGCGCTGCCGAGACTCTTTCTGCCGAGACTCTTTCGACGAAAGAGACTCGGCAGCTAAGTAGGTTTGGTAACAAGACTAAACATCAACTAACCCACTTGGATCTTTCAAAGTCAATGGCTATGACACACAGCGATGTGAAAGGCGACTTTAAGTGACCACTCACTGTCACATTGTCGAAACAAGTAGGCCAGACTAGCCTCTACCAGGCTTTAGATCTTCAGACGTGGATCAGTGGAAAGAGTAGAAATTTGCCAAATACAGAGGCCAGGGGAGTTTGTCCGCTGAAGGATACAGGACTACAGTTTGCCGCTCCCGAAAACTGTACTCCTTTAGCGGACAAACTCCTAATTTCCCTGGCATGCTGTCTGTCTACTTGCCCAATTTCTACTCTTTCCAGTCCCTTCTGAAGCCCGGTAGAGGCTTAGAGACCAGGGACCGTGCAGAAATATTCTGTAGGACTATCTTATCTCCATGTGGAATCAGTATGAGTATGTATCCTTGGCATGTAGTGAGACGAATGTGCGATGCGGGGAATGGGGTCGCCACGGGAAGAATTATTGTAGACTCGCAGCTAGGAATATTCTCAGAATACCTAGCCTGGATGCCATGGCCAGACCCATAACATGCTAGGTCCAGAATGGGAAAGCTTGTGAATCAGGGGGATGTGGCATAATTTTCTTTGGAGCATGTTGACCCTATTAAATTAATATAAAAGTCGAGGAACTGGCCTACGTGGGTCCTATGTACATGTAGGCTCTGGAAACAGTCTGCATGGCACCCAGGCTACGTTGTCTGTTGTAGCTTATGGCTGTGAATCGTGTTTGACATAATTTGCGGAGCGAAAATTCTCTTGTATAACAGTGTTTCGCTGTACAGAGAGCAGCCTTTCTATGCGATATGCGCTTATGCCAACATCATTGAAACTACTAGTACACCCTGACGCCTGACTATGGTTGTTGACGAGGCTACGATTTCGTCTAAAAACGGTAGCGCAACGTCCTTGGACGTAAATATATCTCTTGAAGTTGAAGGTTCAAAATACCATCCAATCAATCAGCTACAAAGGATCATAAGGCAGGTCTTGTCATCAGTAAGCAGATGCCGGCCTTGAATGAATCAAGTTTCCCGCCTACCAATCCATTATAAACAACTCAATCGTTTCAACATCCAAAATTATCTCAGAAGTACAGACTTCCTCTTGACATTTAAAGTAAGATAAAGAAACTGAATGGTGCCGTATTTAGGTCACCAAGCTACGCCTACAGCTATCAAGATATTTAAGTAGCCACTGGAGAAAAAAAAACATACCGGAAAATATGGAACTGTCAACCGACTCCACACGCTAAATCTCAGAAAATTTACAGACCACGTTTTGTTAAAGAAAGATTATAGATACTACGTTAAGATATATAGATACTACGTTAAGATATATAGATACTACGGCCAACTGAGTGATACCATATTTAGGTCACCAAGCTACGCCTACAGTTACTAGTTATCAGATATAGATATAAAAATTAATTAGCCACGGGAGAAAAATTACAAAAACATACCTCGGAAAATTATGGAACTGCTCAAATGTGAACTGACTCCACGCCCGAATCTCAAAAAAAAATTCATAATTATAGATACTACGTCCAACTGAATGATGCCATATATTTAGTTCACCAATCCGCGCCTACAGTTATAAAGATATAAATATAAAAACTTAAGTGGCCACTGGAGAAATTATGAAAACATACCTCGGAAATGGACCGAGCATGCCTCGCTGGGCCGTCGGGGTGGGGCGCGCCCTCCTGCCGGGCCTGCAGCTGCCGCCGCCCGGTGCCAGCCGGCGAGTTCCCGTCGATGTACACAAATCCCACGTTCCCGTCGCGAAAGTCGTTTGCAGCCGCGAGGTTTTCCTCCCGATGGTCACGATTTCGGCTGCGAAATTTGGTCCACGCCTCGTGCACGTCCACAGCGACGTGGAAAGTGGCGAGAACACACAGCAGCAGCGCTAGGACTTTTGTTGAAAAGGAACGGCACACGATACAAGCCATGTCGGTCATAGCCAGCCAGCCTCCCTCGACGGTCTCAAACCTCACTTGTACGGACTTAGTCAAGTCACGAGAGGCTAAACAACACTTCAGACGCTGCCCTTGTGCTTGGAGTGGTGAAGCCCGTCTGTTGATACTTCCCCCGCGATCAGAAGGAGACGAAAATCCCCAAATTAGACCCAATCGATGAAAACGAATCCAGCCGGAAGAACCCGAGTCCAGTCGCCCACGAATCCACAATCGTTCCTTTTGAACAGAGTCAGTGTTCTAGACTGCACGCTCTACTCCTATTCGGACTTTGAACGGGTTCCAATAGTAGGGTTCCAACGCAGGACTGCCGAACGAATGTCAGAGAACTCGAAGCCTCCGCTCTTGCCTAACTGATAGGCAGAGCTCTGTCCCTGTTCAGAGTGGTAGAGAATAGTAGAGTGGAGACTTGTCTCTGTCTCTTCTTCAGTGTCCCAGACTGTGCTCTATATACACCGGATTTTGTACGAGTTCCAACGCAGGACTCCAACATTGTCCAACGAACTGACGAAAAACTTCCAGTCTCCGCTCCTCCTGCTAGGCACTGGTGGAGATCTCAGTCCCCCACTCAGTGTCTCCGCCTCTCCTACAGACAACACGTCCAGCTGCCAATCACTTTCTCCTCCAGCGATACCTGCAGAGGCAAAATAAACACACGGATGAGACCTGCGTACGTAGTCTTCACTAGTCTTGAGTAGAATTGGTTCCGTCTGGGGCCCATGAGATTGCTAGCCTGGATGCCAGGCACCTGAGAGACACGCCTTCGCCTTTCGGCCGGGGGAAGCCACAAGGCAGCCTCTACCAGGCTTTGGGAGGCGGCAAACTGCACTATCCAGCGGATCAACTCCCCTGGCATGTTTGGCCAATTTCGGCCGCCTCCCGAAGCCTGGTAGAGGCTAGCTCCCGGGGTCTTAGGTAAAATTTCATTGGGGACAGGTTGGCCCTGGAGCCGAAGAGCTAGTCTGTATACTCGCCCTGGCAACAGTCTGGCACCCAGGCTAGCCTGTAGCTGTATACTGACCCTGGGAACAGTCTGGCACCCAGGCTAGTAGATTCCTAAACCCATAGCTTGGCAAGTTGGCCCTGGAACCGAGGAGCTAGCCTGCTAGTATATACTCGCCTTGGCAACAGTCTGACACCCAGGCTGCTACTAGTACTAGATTCCTAAACCCGAAGACTTGGCAGGTCCAGCCGCACTAGCGCTGCGCCGTCAAACCTACTTCCCATACTGTCACACATCAACTTACTAACAAAATACACTAGTGTGTATCCTCAAGACTGAGATTGTCACACAGTCAACACTGCCGACTCCTAGGCACACTGTAGCCTCCATTAGCCTGGGTTCCATCCTGGTTAGTTTACGTCCGCTCCTACAGTCGCTACCACCAACTGGTAGCGACTGTAGGAGCGGACGTAAACTAACTAGGATGGAACCCAGGCTAAGCCTCCATAGCATGGGGTACGGTTTTTTGGGATCTTCATGGTCTTTGGGAGCTTTTATGTGCTATTTTCTGATTGCATATACATGTATAGCCGGTCTGGTTGAATTACCCCCGTTTTAGCACTGGGCTAATCAGAAAACAGCCGAAAAGACCACCAAACCCCCAGTTCTATAAGCCTGCTACGGAGGCTAGGCACACTGTTGAACGTACTCTACAAATATAAACAGTAAGACGTCGCTACAGCTAACCATAGCATGATTTATAGCTGTTCACATTCAGGCACAAAAACTTGATCAGCGCGCGCGAGCTCTGGTGTCCGGACCGTTTCTTTAGTTATACCCTCAAAGTGTGTGTACAAAACAGAGTACGGAGCCCGCCCATTCAACGCAATCCTCATTACATACAATAAAATGTTGACGTCCATTTTAGTGCCGTTGTACCAACTTGAACCTGTGCCAGGACACAGAGCTAAAGCAAACAGATGACTAACAGTCGCACCTGTAAGTGTTCAACAGTTTAACATTGTCGCGTCGATCGAGGGTAGTAGGGGTAAGAATTTAGGAATGCCTCAGTTATCAGTTATCTGGTGTGGGTTGAGAGTCTATGAGAACTGAAGTTTACCTCAAAACATCAAAATACGGAAACAATGCACCTCAAGGCCATGAGCGTTTCAATTTCTGGTCCTTCTCCTCTATCTATTCGAATTCATGGCCACTTGCTACGTGAATATGTATGTACCAGTGGCTGTTCACATACGTGGCCATACGTGCCAGCTAATAGCCTGGCCTTGAATTCGATAACAGAAATCAGAGGAATGCAGCAAGCGGATCATGCACCAATAAGTCAGCTACCGGGGGATATCCGGGTGTATCAACTTCAAGGAAGTCCAGTCATCACCCTTGTCAAGATAACGTTCGCAATTTCGGCACCTTCTTTCGACGTTCTGCTGCAGTGCCACAGGAAGCCGCCAGGTGGCCCATAATAGAACCTGTCCTATGTTTTGCCGCCAGTTACCTACATACGAAATCCACGGCCAAACAAACATACACACGCACGCACTCACACACACACACACACACACACACAAACACACACACACACATGTAAGACATAACCGGCACATAATCTTCTTGGTGAAGGCAAAACGTGACATACCTCAAATGATGCTTCTGCTCTTCTGTCAAAACAGGACGATTACGATAATCGCCTTGTTTACGTCCGATAGTACAAACGTTTTGCAAGGAAATTTCCTTGAGTTGATTTCCGTGTCCCCACTTACCGGTTAGCCCCCGGGCTGCCCTCTGTGTCCTCTGTAACAGCCGGCGTCAGCCAGAGTCGAGATTCCTGGTCAGTCCTCTAATCCCCAGGCCTCGTGTGAACTGCACGGTTAAGGGCAAGGTTCTATCCTTGGCCTGACCTTCCCGACCTTACAATTTTCTCTCAAGAATTCGTCCGGTGGGCAGGAAATCTAGAAGGGCGGTAAGGAGTGCCCCTGGGTCGTGTGGACAGAATGGTAGACAGAGCTCGCCTGTGTGCGGTAGCCTGAGGGTCAGCTACCCCACAGACCTCCTAATTCTACCGGACAACAGTCCAGTCCCGCGGGTACCACCGGTAAAACCGTCCCTAATCAATGGACCTTGAGTTTACAGGCCGTGGTAAACGTACGTCCAGTGGTGATACGTGGAGCAGTGTCCACTGCAGCCCTACTATGGCTGTGCAATACCTAGTGTCTTCTACTGGACAATAGTCCAATCCCGCCGGTACCAAAAGTAAAACCGTCTCTAATCGCTAGACCTTGAGTTTACAGGCCGTGATAAACTTACGTCCAGCGGTGATACGTAAAAACAGTGTCCACTGCAGCCCTCCTGTGTCTGTGTACATCACCTAGATGTCTTCTCGTCTCTAACCCCGTGTCCAAATGTCAGTGTTGTGTGCGCCAACTAAAACCGTCCCTGATCGCTAGACCTTGAGTTTACAGGCCGTGATAAAACGTACGTCCAGCGGTGATAGGTGAAGCAGTGTCCACTGCAGCCCTACTGTGGCTGTGCAATACCTAGTGTCTTCTGCTGTCTTCTACCGGACAACAGTCCAGTCCCGTGGGTAGAACAACTAAAACCGTCTCTAATCGATGGACCTTGAGTTTACAGGCCGTGGTAAACGTACGTCCAGCGGTGATACGTAAAACAGCGTCCACTGAAGCCCTCCTTCGGCTGTGTGCATCACCTAGTGCTCCTGATGTCTTCTCGTCTCTAACCCCGTGTCCAAATGTCAGTGTTGTGCGCGCCAGAGAGACTGCTCCGCTAGGGAAAACGTGCTCTTGTCAGCTCGGCACTCGCACGTAGAGTTCAGCAGGGGAAAGGGGAAGTTCACGGTTAGAAGCAGCGGCGACCGAAATGTTACCCCTGCCCTGAGAGCGCTTAGCGTATTTGCAGGTTGAGGAGGGTGTCGACTACACCTAATCGTGGCCGTACAGGGCTCGAAAGTCAGTTTTGGGAACAGGTACACTGGCGCACCCAAGCTAAAAGATTTGGTGCAAAAAATTGTTGGGGTGCACCATAACTTTATAAAATAAAATAGAATAAGTAGAATGTCAGCAAAAACTAATTATGTTTCATTTCTAATGAAAATGGTGCAAGAATCGTTTTTATTATTTTTCTGATGCTGTTTACTACTATACATCTAACGTCTTGACATACGTAAACCTACGAAAATATTTGGGTGCACTGGTACACCCACAGTACAGAAAACAAAAATTGGGTGCACAGCTGCAAATTTGGGTGCACTATGCACATGCACCCAACATTTGGAGCCCTGCCGTATGTTTGTGCTTGAGTGTCAGCCCGACATGCTGGAGCTTACGTAAAGACCGAGTGAAATGCCCGGGAGGGCATATCTAAAATTATTCTGTTCATAAATAATTTCTTGGGACATCTCTGTTGATCCTCTAAACATCCACGTCGTGTCGTATTACACTGTGCGGTATGTGCGGTATGCCTCATGAATAAACAGACAGACTTTTGCATCTAATATCATTCTAGTAACATTTGATACATATCATGTCAAAGGGACCGGAGACGGACACATACTGTTGTATGTTTTCTTTCTTTCCAAAAAAAACTTAATGTTTCCCGAATTTTAACGTAGAAATTATTGCTGTCTAAATGATCTTTTACGAAAAATGTTTTGCCAGAATGTGTTTTGCCTTCGTTCTCTGCGTACATCAATGACATTTGTCGTCTTAATTACTTATGACTGTTTCGCTTGACAAAAATATTTTATCTTTGACAGACCAGACAAAACAAGAAACCCCATATCGCTTGTCTTTTAGCGGGGGCTGAATTCGAGAATAATTCTTTCGAAAACAAACTAACCTTCACGCTATGGAACGTAAAATTGAACCAGCATGTCGCAGCTGGAACCGTGGGTTCGCCTGGCTCTGGTTAGTCTGACCTGATATTAGTCTGACAACTGTGACGCTGGCCCCGAGTTCCAACCGCGTTCGTTCGCAAATTAACACCATTCCTGCGACACCTTGCGGATTGTGTGGACACTACAGGTTAACGTCTCAGAGGGGTTAGCAAGATTCCTGGCCGATGTGCTTCGTTATCATGTCCTGTGCATTGTCACATATACAATTGGTCAGTGTCTATCAACATATTGAGTCGTTCAGTGTGATGTAGCCAGCTGCCGCCGCGCCGCGTGTCTGCCAAGCTTGTGTATTACGCCGAAGGGCGGTTATAGTAACTTATACCGGCTATACAGATACAGATATTGACTGTAAAGCAAGAGCGATGCTAAGCGGATATTTTGATAAACGTAGTACATAAGTAGGTCACTCATTG